TGTTTTCTTATTTCTGGTATCTGCTCCCTGGTGGATGAGGCTGGACTGGAGGCTTATGCAGGATTCCTGGCGTAAGGAGTCAGTGCCTGCCCACTGCTGGGCTAAGCTTGGTCCTGGCCCTCTGGTGGGTAGGGCCTTGTCTAGAGGTGTTTGTGGCTCAGGAAGTCTGCTGATGGGTGGGGCTGTGTTTCCACTCAGTTTGTTGTTTAGCCTGAGGCTTCCCAGCCCTTAAGCCTGCAGGCTGTTGGGTGGGGTTATGTCTTGGTGCTAGTGATCCATTTCAGCCTCCAGGAAATCTCCTGTAGATGAACACTTACGGAACGTCTGCCACCAGCTTTTATGTCCCCTGGGTGAGCCGCAGCTGTCTCCTACCTTCCCAGGAGAACTTCCAAAACCAGCAGGCAGGTGTGGCCCAGGTTCCTATGAAATCACTGCCTCTGTCCTTGGACCTGGTGCACGTGTTTCTGTGTACGCTTTCCAAGAGACTGAAGTCTGTTTCCCACAGTCCCATGGGGTTGCTGGAGCTAAGCCCCACTGGCCTTCAAAACCAGATGTTCTGGGGTCTCCTCCTTCCAATGCCAGAACCCTGGGCTGAGGAGCCTGATGTGGGGCTCAGAGCTCTCATTCCTGTGTGAGGGCCTCTGTGACTTAATTATTCCTCAGCTTGTGGAACGCCCACTTGGGAGTATGGGGCCGAGCATGCCCCTCCGACAATCCCCCTGTAGTTCCCTGTTTATGTTTCCAGTTGAATATCTTTTTTAGCTGGGTTCCAATCTTTTTTTGATGGTTGTTTAGCAGTCAGTTGTGGTTTTGTTGTAGTCGCAAGGAGAGGCATGCTCATGGTCCTGCTACTCCGCCATCTTGACCAGAAAAATCCTGGTTCCCTTTGTAATGCCCACTCAGTCGGAGACCAGCTGCTTTCTCTTCTAGGAGACCTTTCCTAAAGTACCTGAAGCTCCTGCAGCTCGGGGCCAGCAAGATCCTTGTGGGTCCCTCTCTTAGGGTAAGGCCAGGGTGGCCCTGTACCATGGCTGTGTGGGTGCCCCTCTCTCAGCTGGGAGAGTGATTGTTGGCCAGGATCCTAGCAGGGTACTGGGCCAGTTGATGAGGGCTGGGTGATAGACTGCCCTTGCAGAGGCCATCTTCTCCAGAAGTCCTTCTAGGGCAGCCATCCCTTCTGTCTTAACTCCTGGGCCTGGAGTAGGAAGGAGGGAAGCTTGGGACCTGTTATAATGGACTCTGGAGTCTGGGATCCAGTCCCAGCCATGCCGCTAGCTCTTTGATTTGGTTTCTCCTCTCTAAGATGGAAGTGATGGCAGCTAATCTCAGAGATTGTGGGCCTAAAAGGAGAATGTTAGATAGGAACCCTGTAGGGTCCCTGACATAGCTGGAGCCCAGGACCGGAAAGCTCTCTGAGCCTTTGTCATTCCCCTGGGGCAGTGTTGACTTGGGCTTTGGGAGGTAGGGTGTATCCCTGGGGAGCTCTTAGTCCAGTGGGAAGTGCTGGCTTGTAAACAAATCACTGTGTTGCTACATGGTAAGTGCCTTAATAGAAGTTTTGTCCAGTGTCCTCCCTCCAGGAGGGAGCCTTCAGCTGTGGAAGTGATAACGGGAGAAGTGAAGGAATGCTCTTGAGGGTGGGGAAATAGGGAAAGCTTAAGTGTCTCCCCCCTCCCCTACCCCACACCCCAGCTGCAAGAGCAAAGAAGCTGCAAGCTGTGGGCTCTAGGGACACTTGCCACATTTCATCTGCTTGGGATGCCCTTTGACGTGGCTCTTCCCAGACACCCTGGGCCACCTCTCAGCTCTCCCACAGTCCCACAGACTTGGGCCCTTCCTCTCCTAGAGCAGGAGTATGCTGATTATTTGGTTATCTATATGTCCCCTCCCCCGCACCCCACCGGTTGTTTCTAGGCCTGTTCCTCGCCATGCTCTTTTTTGGTACCCATAGCCTCTGCCTTCAGAGGGTTCCAGTGCTTGATGAGTGAAGGATTTCATCTGGAATGCTTTCCATTAACTGGTTTTACCTGGATGAGGATGGTAAATGTTGATCAAAATCTTTTTCCCCATTTTATGAGTAGGCCGTCAATAGTAGCTCTTGGTCTGAACTGACAGCTTGTTGCTTTTCTTTGATGGGCATCATCGACATGTAGGGAGTTGAAACCAACAACAAAAAATAAACAGCAGGGGCACCTCACCTGCCAGTTGGTCCTGGGAGTAGAATTGTTATGAAGTTCATGTTATTCCATCCACCAATACCACAGCCTCTCAGTGTAGCTGCTGGTTTCTGTGGTCACCACAAAGTATAGCCTCATTA